ATCTTCCTTCCTTCTCTTTTTTTCTTCTCCTTCCTTCCTTTCTTCCTTCCACTATCCCTCTCTGGCGTTTCCTTCCTTCCATTCCTCCTCCCTCCCACTCCCTCCCACTCCCTTCCTTCTTTCTCAGAATATTTTCCATATCTTCCTTCCTTCCCTTTTTCCTCTCCTTCCTTTCCTTCCTTCCCTCCCTCCCTCCTTCTTTCCTTCCTTCCTTCCACTATCCTTCTCTCCCACTTCCTTCCTTCCATTCCTCCTTCCTCCTTCCCTCCCTCTCCCTTCTTTTTAGCCTGCCTGCCTCCCTCCCTTCTCTCTCTCCCTCCCTCCCTCCCTCCTTCTCTGTTTCTCTCTCTTTCTTCCTCTCTCCCTCCTTCCCGTCCTGCTGTTGCTGCCTTTTGGGGGAGGGAGAGTAGAGAGATGTTTTGGCCAGAGGGCCAGACCTGGTGATGGTGCGAAGGCACTTTGCCCAATGGGGCCTCCTGCCAAAGGCCGGGCAGAAGCCTCGGACCGTTATGTCATCTCAAGGATGCGCCGAAATACTGCTTTTTGGGGGGGGGAGGGGAGAGCAACAGCAGGGGGAAGGAGCAGGGGCAACGGAGACGGGCATCCGTCCGTGCATCAAATTTTGGGGGGGGGTCTTAACGGGGTGGGAGCTGGACGGTATCCACATCCAGAAACCCACCGCGTGGCAGAACTTTCCCACTTTTCCTCTGCTTCCTCCTCCTCTCTGTTTACCTGTCTCACCTGGAGCTGGCCCCTCCAATGCCCGGTGCCAGCCAGGCCTGCCCAGGTGGAGGTGAGGGATGCAAGGAGCAGGGGACCCAAATCTCCTGCAAATGGTTCGGGGAGTTTCTCGTCCTCCAAGTTGGGGACATTCCCTCCCCACGACCTGCTCAGAAAATGCCAGCAAAGCTGCGGATATTAAATATATCTCCATATATAAAAGCGAAATGCCACTCACGCATCATCACAAAATCTCCAGAACGGTAAAGCCCACAAATGTGAAATTTGGCCTGTATGTTCCTCTTGGCTTCTAGGGGCTCACTAAGAAAGGATTTTGTGAAATGACCATCAGAGCATTTAGAGTATTTCCTATATTATTATTATTAACACGCTCTGATGCTAAGGAGTTCTACTCCCCCTCCCCACCCGAAAAGAAATCTCTTCCAAATGCAAAACACAAGCAGAGAAGAATTTCAGTTTTAGTTCCACAGCACGAAGCAGCTTTAGTACCCGAACAGTTGAGCTAAGCCACGCCCAGGCTCCTTGCTGTCTCCTCACTCGCACAGCAAATACAGTTTCAGTTTCCAAACAGCCCTCCCCTCTCTCACTCACACACACACACACACATACAGACAGTACTCTAGCCAGATGAATACCGATGGATGCTGGTAGGCCGAGGCAGAAATTCCCCTCCTGTATTTTCCTCCACAAAAACTAAGCTTGACCACATAGTTTTGTAGCGAAGCAAGGGTACGGAGCGAATATATATGGATGTTTGTATGTATGTATGTATGTGTCTATCTCTCTGTGTGTGTGTGTGTGTGTGCGTGCATGCGCGCACACACACACACACACACACGCCTCTGTGGAAGCCTCTGCAAATAGCAGATTACGTGCAAGGCTGAGCAGATGGCTGGCCGTAGACTCCTGATGCGGGGGAAGGCTGTGCTGGGCCCCCTTTCCTCTGGGGTCACCCCCTGACTTCCCCCTAGAGAAATAAATGGGAAATGGAACTGGGATTTCTTTGATCAACCCCCCCACCCCCCAAAAAAATGTTCTGATCCCCGGATTCTTCCCGCCTCCTCCTTAAAATGAGATTGAAGTTCACAAGGCTCCTGGAAAAGAATTCTAGATCTGACCTGGTTTAAGAGCAGAGGGTCTTATAAACTTCAAAGCAGGATTTGGGGGTTCAGGCCAGAGGTATGCTGGCGCTCTGCCTTTGCAATGGGCTGAAAGAGCAAAACATCCAAGATGCTTTTTTGGGGGTGCGGGGCAGCCATGGGGGAATCGGGGAGCCATTTGGTTTTCCTTCTTCCTTTCTCTCCCACGATGAATTGGCTGTTCTTGCATCTTCTTCTAAAAGATGTGAGATGCATCTAAGAGAAAGCGTGGTTTCTCTCTCCCCCCCCCCGCCCCCCCAAAAAACTGCTGTTGTGTAATCAGCAGAAAATTGGTAGAGAGAAAGGAAGATGGAGTGAGTGAGTGAGTGAGTGAGTGAGTGAAGAAGTCGGTCACTCCTGCCCAAGTGGTTTTGGCCTGGTCAAAAATTTTACCAAGGAAAGAAGGAAAGGAAGGAAGGGAGGGAGGGAGGAAGGAAGGAAGGAAGGAAGGAAGGAAGGAAGGAAGGAAGGAAGGAAGGAGTAGAGTATTCCCTATATTATTATTATTATTATTATTATTATTATTATTATTATTATTATTATTATTA